AAGTAAACTTGATCCAGTGAAGTAGCATCAACTTCACCAGACTGATGTTTCCTGACCCATATGCCATTTTTCAACAACTATTATGATGAGTATCCATGCAAACAAGAGATTTGTTTACATGTGGAAGCAGCTGAAGGAACTTTTCAAGGCCAAAGTAATGTCTGGAATAAGACCAAAAGCCTTGACAAGCAGACATGGATATGTGACACATGTAGGGCAGGGGCAAAACGGAGAACAAGAAGGGGAAATTTTAGGCATGTCTTTCATTGGTCACCTCAGAGGTTGTGTGATGATTGGCAAATTAAAAGGACATAGCAGAAGCTCTTATTGCAAATATGCATGTGAGGAGACAGCAACTGCAGAGAGATAGATATGGAGGTAGATCAGTCTCAATTTCCACAAATACATATATGTGATTCATACATGCACAAGACAAGATCCACACAGGCATAGCATGATTTACACAAAAACAAAAATATCCACTCAAACAAAGGACAAAATCCACAGAATAACTGACACAAGCACACAAGATCCAAACATGCACAGAACAAGAAGTATTTGGAAAAAGAATCTTGGAAAAAACCTACAGCTAATTATTTATTTTTAAATAAACACTTAAAGTTGTTTGAATTTAACTCACCAACACTGGATATTTAACGCATTTTGCTGTGTACTGATAAAAAAAATACAGTTCTTACACCTTCTGTCCGTTAACATTACCACATATTAATGCAATCGTTTGGTGAGAACTGCTTTAGACAGAAGCCTCAGCTTCAAACGTTTTTTAATGATACTTATTAAATTCCAATGCAAACCCATGTGTGCACGTTGTTTTGAATGAGTAGTGACTCTGACATTTTTATCTGACTGTATGTGCACATAAATGGTGGGTAAACAAATACATACATCCAATCTAACCAACCCTGTATTTAATTTTATTACTGGATTACATTCATTAAGACGATTGCAAAAGCTGCACATTGGAACTACAAACAATGCTGATTGATATTGGGTAATAAAGCCAATTGTTTTAAACTTTTTATTTCAAAGAAGCTGAGAAGACAGTGACTACTCGCATGCATTAGTGCACATGTGGCTAGTGGAGCTCAAAAACATTGAGGCTGTAAAGTTTGACATATGGAATGGTGTGTTAATCAAAGACTCCACACTCCCAGCTGGAGCAGACACACTGGGAAAACATTCTGACATGCTTACTTGAGAATGTTCTTAGAAGGGTGGTTTCAAGGGGACACATCACATATGTGTAGCTGAATACACAAGTTTCTCATGATACTGTCCTTTAAAGCAATGATGGCATGTGCGCCTTATGCCCTGGTGTATGTGCTGGGTTCACACTTACATTATAACCATAAGGAAGAAGCCTCAGAGTTGGTTTAAAACAAGGAATGTTGACATGAGGATCTTTGTAAAACAGACATTGATTGTCATGGTTTAATAATCTGTCTTGAGATGACTCCTCCGGATTTATATTTTGCTTTTCTAATTCCTGTCATAATACAGTTTTGTAGACATGCTTGTTCAGAAAATTAATAGTTCAAATTTATCCGACTAAAAAGTATAATTGTACTCAGAAAAACTAATATATTAAGGTAAAGACTGCTTAAGTAACAGAATGGGTTCATATGGAAGTAATTGTGGTAGTTAAGTTGAAATAAATGAATGTCCTGATAAATACAGTGATTAAATAAATACTTAGGGGCCCTGCGTCGTCTCCCTAAATTCCTAGAAAGGCAGATAAGTATAAGTTGAAAAGATGAAATACCTTATAAATGACAGACAGGGTGAGATGGGATAGCGCTACAAGAAGAAACACAGCCACATAAAAGAAATGAAAGCAAAAGAAATCCACAGACAGCAGGGAAACAAAGAGGTCTTCTTTGTTTTCAATTCTGCTCACTACTGAAGGGGATGATAGCATAATATGTTTGTTAATGGGGGAACAAATCTTTGGCGCTCAGCTTACATAACTGCTGACTGACTAATCATTCATGCTCCCTGAAACACACACGGCTGTCAGTCAGAACATTTCCCTCTTTGTATTACCGAGCCAAAGCTGAAACCAGATATTTGCACTCACTGCATTAAAAGATGCATAGTCACTTTGTAGTCACTTTAGCAGAATAAACCTTTCTTGTTTTATGTAGGTTAGGGTTACAAAAAACATTTATGTTTGCTACATACTAAAATTATTAAGGACTGAATTGATTTAACTGCTTTTAATTTTAGAGGTTTAAGAAGATGAGTATTCGGCAGGGTAGTAGATTATAGCTTTTATCCTCCCTCAATTGGGGAAATCCATGTGGCAGCAAGTAAAAGGTGAAAGGAGCAAAAGAGATAAACACAAGAGTAAAAAATATAAAGTAAGGCCAAATTCTCTACAGAGGAATGAATACTTTAAAGCTATTAAATTCACAATTAAAGTCCCAGTTATAAACCCAGTTTGAGTTTATGCTGATTCTGCACCATTAGTTAAAATAACCCTAAAATAAAAAAAGAAAAAAAGAAACACAATTTCTATAGGGCTGAAATCATTTCTTTGTGGTGACCACTCTAAAACACTGAATTTTGTTCTTAAGGTAGTTTGTGGCTAATTTATTGATATTTAGAGACTGATTTACTTTTTATATTTATACCCTACTTTTTCTCAGTGACTGATGTTATGGTATTTTGCCCCACACATGGTTCCTCACTAATAATGCCTTCTAGTCATTAGTGATTATGGGATTATGGGTTCAGTTGCATCTCATCAGACCACAGGATCTGTCTCTAAATCTTCAGGAACATAATGAAAAATTCTCCTATAAAATTTCCTCACATATTTTTTGGTATTTACTAAACAGAAATAATTTTGGTCAAACTTTTTCTTGAAAACAGAATACTGAAAAAATAAATCTACTTTTATTGCAATTTTATTTTCATCTGAATATGTATATATGCGGTTAAATATAAACATGCAAAGTTATAAAGATTATAACTTAAGTATGGATTTATCTCTTGAAGATGACACTATGTGCACATTTGCACATTATGTACACATAGTTTTATGTTAAATACGGGCTAATACCAGAAGCAGTTGTCAACTATCACTAACTTCTCACCCATCTGAGACCAAATCTGCAAGAACATCTGACAAGCCAAAGAGCCAGCTGCTTTCAGCCTGAGAGGAGAGCAGAAATGAAAGGGTAGGAGGCTGAGATGTGGCCATGTAGTCAGGCTCCATCTGCCGATCTGCGTCAGTCAGAGAAAGCTTTGGCACAACTTTACTCTCTGACTTCACTGGTACAACACAGCATCAACTTATTCTTTACTTTGAAGATCCGTTTTTTTCTTGCTGTCTGCTGTAACTTCGATTCAGAATTACAGCAGATTATTAAATCTGCGCACCATTGCATCCCCATTCCATCTTTCCGTTTCTAGAGGTCAAGTGAAGAAGCAATTGAAGAGACTGAATCACAATACGGATCCAGGTCCTGATGGTGTAAGCTTTAGAGTCCTGAAGGCCTGTAAAGAGCAGCTTTGTGGGATTCTACAGCACCTCTTCAACCTTCACCATACTGTTTTACTCTGTACATCTCTGACTTCCAGTATAAGACAAGAGTATTTTTATCTGCAAAGCATCTTCTTCAGAAAACTGTAGAACAACAACAGAGTCTTTGGCCAGATACTTCTCCAGATCTGCTTCAACACAGACTGCCATCTACAATAACTCGTCAGAAAAACCCTATACGGCTTTGACAATATTAATTTTCCCTTTGGGTCAGTAAAGTATTTAATCCAATTTAATTTTACTGTTAAAAAGACATCTAAATCCTTCCGCCAATTTTCCGTCTGTTCATCCATCCCTTGATCCCTCATCCATTCATCCAGATGATGGTACCTTTTCCAGATCCAACTATTCCAACATTGCGTCTTCCCACTGTTTGTAAATTCTGACTTTAAAATATAAAATGTCCAATGCAACATTAACTCATCTACTGTATATGCTCTAATATTGGAGATCTAAAGCAGATCCAAATATCCTATTGCCTGTTTACCCATAACTTTCAAAAGGAATTCCTGTAAGCATGATCATAATGGTGTATGCTAACTGTTCAGTTGCAGGAAAGCAAACAAGACAGCCAGTCAAATAAAATCTATTTTATGCATGGTTTCATGAGATGATGTCAACTACATTACATGGCCTAGCATTGCAAAAACCTTTGAGTATATTAAAACCTGATGGCTTATCGTCTTTTTCTAGGTATTATTCCACTGTGGCCATAATCTGCCACGTCAAACTGTCTGGATCCATCGCATGTTGCAGCCCAGTAAGGGCTCCTTCAGAGGCTGCGACAGGCAATCAGAGGCACGCTTGCCAGCGCCAAGGGAGCCTTGAAGACTGTCAGCTGATGAAAGAAAGGAAAAACTGTGTTTTGGGTTTGGTCCGTGTGGGCCCAAGCCAACAGGAAAGCGCCAGTGTTTTCCTCTTCATGGGGCATAATGGATTCTCTCCGCCAATGAAACCCTATTCCGGCCAGGACAGATGTAAGCATGATGAGAAGACGGCTAAAGAGAGGAGAAATCTAAAAGAATACAAGCAGATGGTGTGGAAGGGAGGGATTGGGAAGGTTTGCCAGCATTCTGTTAAACAACAAATGGGACTAATTCTAGGTTTCCAAGTAGTCTGTAGACCACTGCCTATATCATTGTATGCAACATGATCACGGTCCCCAGGGGAGTTACTATAACAACCAAAAACAAGAGTGCAATACAAGAAGACATATCCCTGACGCAACCATTAATGTACCAACTCTTCGGCTACTGGCACTGTCCAACTCCTAAGATTAGGTTTTTAAGGCCTTAACATTCAGGGAACATTGGTACATAGTGATCACAGGGTCTAAACAACGGCAAAAAAACATATTCAGATGAAGGTAAAAGTTTCTTCCATCATAAGTAGCTCAAAGTTGTCCCACACCGGTGTAGGAAAGGCTTTGTACCTTCTCTCGTTGTCATCTAGGTGAGCAAACAGCACATTCTTGGAGATGGCCTTGGCCAAGGCAGTCATGGTCTTGTAGTCCTTTGGAATCACCTGCGCAGACAAAGAAGTAATTACAGTTAAGTGGACCGCAACAACAAAGTGCAGGTGGAACCATGAAACAAACCAAAGCAAACACATAATGTGACCAACTTCAAAAGCAGACCAAGATGAGTAATTAAAGACCAGCACATTGGCAAACCCTAAAAGACATCTCCCACACATGCATCTGTGTATTTCTGGGAATGCCCATCTGCTCGGCCATAACACTAAAATGTCACACAGAACTTAAAAAAATTCACAAGAGCCCTGAAATCATTCATAAAGCATGCATTTTTATGTCCAAGTCTGTGGTGCGAGTTTAAGCAAGGGGGGGGGGGGGATGGCAACATTTGAAACCACAACAAAGCAGTCCTACACAGAGATCTAATGTATGTTTATGGTGAGGCATCCTGAAAAGACAGTTTATGCTCATGGGTATGTTAATATAAATATGATAAGGAAGAGAGTTTTGTAAAAATCTTTCTAAAATAACCTAGAGATTTAGTTCAGTGATGAGTGTGTAAGTGTGTCTTTGCCTTTCATTCTAGGAAGGAGGAGGGGTTAGGCTGTAATTATGCTAAGGCAACAGATGTCTCCACATGAGGACAACCACACTGCACAGTGTACAATATGCACACAAGTGCACACACAGCCACATCACACATAAATGAAGGAATACAATTTTTTTATCATCAGTTGAACTAAGAGCATGACTGCACAGCAGCCAGAAAGAGAACCATGGTGGTCAGTCCTGGAAACTGAATTGAGGGGGGGCACATATTTTTAGGTTAGATTCCTGCTGATCTTATGTAATATGCCAGCTCAATTTTCTATGCAGGAGATTATTTAATATGAGGGCAATGGGGTTGTAACTATACCGCATAAGGATTTTTCTTACAAAGATGCATGGCTTTCAAATGAAAAGCAGTTTGGAAAGAGTTCCCTTAGGGGGTCAACAGTTACCTCTGCATCTTTGTGAGGTACAGAGGCAGTTTTTAAAATATCAAACTGATAAAGGCTGTTTAATGAACTTTAACCCCTTTTAAAACAATATTTTCCTGATAGTTCGACAGAGAAATAGAAACAAGGTATAGAACATTTTGATAGCTTTGATCCAAAGAACAGTTTATGGCTTGTGAAGAGTTGGTGTTTTATTAAACTGTTTGGCTAATTCATCCATGGCTAGCTGACATTTCCCTGATATCTTGTTTTTATTGGCTGTATAAGAAGCATCAGAATGCAGTGCAGTTAGTGTTCAACAATACCTTTTTTGACTTAGCAGAGTTAGTGCTGGTAAAAATACGCGGTGTGTGTAATACGAATAAAGTGCTTCCTGAGTGCAGGCCCGGAGTCGCTTTAGGTCTGAAAATGTCAAAAATTCACATTTATAATGGAATGTACAGCTCCATTTACTGTACAAATAAGTTCTGTCATCTGCCACATTAATTTTTATTTTAAACAGTTGACATTAAGAACAGTGAGCATCTGCAGAAGTGGTACATTTTTAATACTCAACTATACCTATGTAGTTTAACCTTTTAAGAATAACTTAGTCATTCATTACATTTGGCAATGTAAACTTTTTTCTTTGTATTTATTACATTTCTATATCCATTTAACATAATGGTGCTATTTAATTACTTCAGATTGAAAGCTGTTGAATTATTGATGCCGTTTTGCATATACCATGACCATGGTTTTTGGACATTGGGAACCAGTGGCCATATTTCATCTTGACATGATGACCACAGAGGAGGGCGCAACTCTGGTGAATAAACAGCTGTAAGATCTCTGCAACACCACCACCCCCCCACCCCAGCCAAGGCCTCCAAAAGCAGTCAAAGGCATCATCATCATATATCATCATATCTATATTTTTTGAAAACAAAGCGGAGTGTGTATGACGTCATCCGTGTGTGCCGGCTACCATTCATTCATCCTGTCCTCTGAACTGCTGCTAGTTTTACTCCTGCCTAGAAGATGTCTAGTGCTACTACCACAGATGATCTAGCTCCCAAAATGGAATTGAACGATTCATGCCGGATGTCTGGGGGACAGTGATTCGCCTACATGTTATGAATGCTGGCGTACCATAAATTATAAATTATGAACAGTTTAGTTTGTTCCTTCGACTCATTGTCCATCGGAAGATGTTACTTGGATATAACTTAACGGAATATCTTCAGAACAGCTCCAAATGATACAAAACTCATATGGGTGTGTAGAACATGATGTAATAACGTAAAATCAAGGGTCCAATGTAAAAATAATAATAATAAATAAAAAAATAAATAAAAAACGGTGTACCCCTTTAGCAGTGGCTTCACTGTCTAGTTCTACGTCCTCTGACCATAACAATTTTTTCAAAACATTCTTGTTAAAAATCATTAACTATTAACCTTAAAGGGGAATTTCGTTTTTTTTTTACATTTGGCCCTTGATTTTACGTTATTACATCATGTTCTACTCATCCATATGAGTTTTGTGTCATTTGGAGCCGGTCTGAAGGTATTCCGTTAGGTTATATCCAAGTAATGTCTTCCTATGGGCAACGAGTTGAAGGCACAAACTAAACTATTCATAATTTATAATACGAAAGAATTCATAACATGTAGGTGAATCACTGTCCCCCAGACATCCGTGGTTTATTTTTCAAATTTATGTATTTTTTTTTTTAAAAAGCGGCGCATGTACAGTATGACGTCATCCGCCTGCCGGACTAGAGTTTTCTATTATTTAAAAAAAAAAAAAAAACTTTTTTTAAACGAATGTACATTACACCAGGCGGCTATGCTCTACCCTTCTATTCATTTGGCTAGCTAATCTGAGTTGTTCAATTCCATTTCGAGAGCGAGATCATCTGTGGTAGTAGCACTAGACATCTTCCAGGCAGGAGTAAAACTAGCCACAGTTCAGCGGACAGGAAGAATGAATGGTAGCCGGCACGCGGATGATGTCATACACGCGCCGCTTTGTTTTTTAAAAATATAAATATAAAAAGCATAACCGCGGATGTCTGGGGGACAGGGATTCGCCTACATGTTATGAATACTGGCGTACCATAAATGATTAATTATGAACAGTTTAGTTTGTGCCTTTAAGTCGTTTGCCAATAGAAAGACGTTACTTGGATATAACCCAACGGAATATCTTAAGAACGGCTCCAAATGATACAAAACTCATATGGGTGAGTAGAACATGATGTAATAATGTAAAATCAAGGGCCAGACATAAAAAAACAGCGTTCCCCTTTAAAGGGTAATGTGTGTGATATTTTCATTTTATGAGGACCGCCCAATCTATCAGACACAAACAACCTGACAACATTGAACGATGCTAGAATTCAACATCAGCAAGTCATCTCAATTACATCAACATGTTTACCATGTGATTTGTTAAATTTGTCATTTGTGATGGAAAGTTTAACATACATGTGTAAAATAAATAAAAAGAACAAGCTTTTAAACTATTTACTGTTTGGTAAGTACCATGTCCCCTCCAAGGAACAGCCCTATCTGTTTTTACACCAAACACCACTCATGAGGGCAGAAAGAAGATGCATAAATTAGTAACCATAATTAAGAGTCTGTCCCTTTTTTAAAAGTAAAAGCTGAGGTAAAGAGTCAGCAAAGAGACATACAGCAGTTCTAGCAGCTCCAAAATAAACCCTGACTGAGAGGAATCTCTTCATTATAAGACACTCTATTGTTTATAGCAAAACCATTTTAATCAGATAAGAGGAGTTGCTAATTGGTTGCATTTCGTTAGTGTCACAGTAGGGCCTCTAATGAAAAGTGATTATAAAAAGATGTTAGTACACACGTTGTGTTTTCTCTGATTGTGTCAACCTCATCAAAGGTGGGGCATATATAGCGCCATGTCTTACTGTGGCAATAATGTGCTTTCATGTTCTAATTTGATTTTGATTAACTTTCCTCGGGCTGGCTTGTTGTGTAAGTTAAAGATTTGCAATAATCTCTCTTCAAATCCACTGATGTGGCTTTGTGTATTGTGTGTCGATGTATACATTTGTGAGTATGTCAGTCTATAAATGAGAAATGAGAAAACTAGAGTGTATGCTTCACTAATTGTACAATTACAATGTGGTGATTCACCTTTATGACTTTAACTCACAATTCATGCCAGGTTATTTAAAAAATTGGAAAGTGTAGGAATGATGTACTGTTGACAGAGTACTATGTATGCGTTTAAAAAATTTGTAGAATCATAAAACAGGATTTCTGCTAAAAGCTACAAGCTTCTCCTTTAATCTGTGTGTGTGGTTATTTTCAAAACTTATGAAGATGAGCTACAGTAAGGGAATGAACCTTAAAAGCATAAAATTTCCATTGAGTTTTATAACAACAAAATTTTTAAATTAAAATGCAAGAATCGCTCTTTTACTTTATTATGATATTATTTGGTTATATTTATACAAAATAAAAGGTAAAGTTCAAAAACACAAGAGAAATCTCAGTAAAGTTGGCTTCCCCACCATTTCTGTATCATTTCTATCTACTATAAAACATTTTCCACTTAGATTTGGTCCTTATAAATAAGCTCAGTTCGTTTTTTATATAGATTTGGTCTGGGGGACCAAATCTATAGCCTGACGTAGTCCGACTCAATTCTAGTCAGAATATGAGTCTGATACTGCTCCATAGAGCTGTGATTATGGGGCGTGTTTCGAACGAACCAGGAAAAAAAACGCCTCTGCACTCAATTGGATAGATCTACAACCAATAAGAGCAACGGAGTGCGTGACGTATGTTAAGCGATGCATAGTTGTTGTCCACAAAAATCAAAGCGTGCAGTTTCACGCCTAGAATAAGAAGATGAGACTTGATCGCGTTTCTCTGTTCCTCTTTTAAAATTAATTTGCTGTCGATATCTTCTAGAACAGACCTAATAGCAGAATCTACTCACCCAAACTCTCCAGCGGCAGCCATTATTGTTGTCACCCAAGCGCGCTTTGGTCACGTGGTTGATTGCGTTACTCTTGATCATCTGTCCATCATCGTATAAAGCCCGCCCTGACAATTTGATTGGATCGCCTGACAGTGGGCGATAATACTCGCGCTACTATGGAGCAGAGCCAGACCGAACTTCCCCGAACTCAAACCTTGTGGGCAGGACTAAGTTCGGACTGGCACCCAGGCTACCAAATCTATATAACCACTGCTAATTTCAGTGAAAATCATATGGACTTATGTGCCTAAAGAACATGCGTTTTGTCAAGCCCTCTCCCTCCAATTAAGGCCAAACCTTCAGTTAATTTAGTTGCAACCTTCAAAAACAAGTGATGCAAACTGTTGGACATTTATGAGAGTGTATTTGGAAATGAGTGGAAAAAAAGCAGCAACGAAGGTCTTGTTTAGAGTCACATAATAACAACAACCCTGTAGTTTCTCATTCAGAATAATTCAGTTTATATGACAGGTGTATTATGTAAACACTTCAATATTATATGCTGTAAAATGCAATTATCCTTGTCACATTTCAAAATCTAAGTCTTTTATCACACCTTAATTCATTATAACATTAATGTTTGTTATTGTTTGTATCCACATATATAAAGCACGCTTTTGTTTGGATCCAAAACCAAATTGTTCTGCACTACATGCCGGAAAGAAAGACATGCGCTAAAATGGCTTTAAAATGCCTAAGGATGGAATATAAAACAGATGCAAGTGTATTAATGCAAAGAGAAGCAGAATCAACCAAATGAGTTTTAATGCAAGAGTAATAAGTTCTTTTAAGTAATAAAAACAAAAAATACTTTGTGGAATATTTAACCATCTGTTAAGCAGAAAGTTAATAAAAATATAAGACTGTTTTCAGTGTTTCTAAGGTTTAGCCCAAAGCACAGCCATGAACCCACTTAATATAATCTACAGGAGGTTGATGCACTTTCAAAGCACGCTTTTAGATTGCTAAACCAAAGGGGTGTGAACTACAACATGTAGCATTTGCCTTAGCATTGCACTGAGCTCAATGCAGTGATCTTCAGGAGCATTAAAAAAGTTCATTCACTAGAACTGACTGAGACCTTTACATTGTACTTTCAGAGCTTGTTATGAGTTGTTTAGCTAAGTCTGATTTATTAGCATAGTTTTTCAGGTTTAATTTTTTGTCTTCTTGTGAAGTTAATCACACAAAAGAAAAATTAACTTAAACTTAAATATGAAGAGGAAGAAAGATCATGTGGAAAATGTAGATTTTCATCTGTTTAGCTTGTAACTCAGAATAAAAATAATTAGTTTTACATAATATTTTCAGCATTTTGTACAAGGCTTACCTGTAGGCTTTCCTGGCAGTTTTATATCTACATTGAATAATGACATATCGGCCAAAATATCCTAGATATATCATGATATATGGTTTTGACATACCGACTGCTAGCTGAGTGTAAATAAAGGTGAAGTGACTTGTACCCGCCTTTCGATGTCAGGACCATTTAGTTGTTCAAGAGAGCATATTTGGATTATCTGAAACTGGGATAGAGTTACTAGAAACAACAGCTGTGAAACTTTTTTTTTGGGCCACCTTTAGCTTTGGTTCTGACATTTTTATATAATCTTATAGAATGCAAGTTAATAATATTTTCTATGAAGACCGAAACAATTAGGGTATCAGTCCATGTTTTATTGGTTTTTATTTCACATGGTAGTGAATTAAATAATTCTACTCACAGAAATCTGACCTTTTTATGTTAAAACATGTGTTGGTTCAGACCAGAAAAGCCCACAGGGGTGAGCTCTCCACAGATCGTGATTTTGGTCCTCCTCCTTGATGCATGTCATTAGTGGAAGGGTGCAAACATTAGCCCACCTTGCTAACATCATGATGATCTCTAGTCTACCAAATGGGGGGATTCCAACAGTTAGGGATTGGTGATATTTGGTTAATGTTGCTGCTTGTGTTAAAAATACTAGAAAAGTTGATAATGCTACATCCATTATATAAGCAAAGGCAAACGGAGTGCAAAAAGATTCATACATTTTCAACTTTTCGACATTTTGCATGTTACTTGAATTTCTTGTATATTGGACAATGCAAATAAGAGTGTTAAGTGGGAGGAAATTGATTTATACTTTTAATTTATTTATCTATTTTTTTGTCTTAAAAAAAAATTTATCTGAACAAGCTAAAAAGGTAGTGTAGGATGCAAATGTAAATAGCCATAAATAAAAAGAAATATTGTAAAATGCAGATACTGCTGCAGTATTGGTTCTGCAGATTTAGTTACCAGAATATTCACTCTTTGCATCTGATAATCCAATTAAATTAAATAATTGACCAAGTTTAACACAGTTTCTTAGCCCACTGCCATTTTGGTCCTTTTTTCCTTCAAGACTTTATATTTGAGGTCTGAGCTACTGTGCAATCTGACCTTGCGAACATAGCTGACGGCGTCCTCCTCGGTGTACACTTCGGCGCTGACTCCTCCCCTGCGGCGCCGGGCCTTGACGACCGGGTTTGGAGGAGGAGGAGAAACCTCATCGTCATGGGAGTCTGACTGGCTGTTAGACTTCTGCCGTGCCATAATCTGCTTGCATTCTTCCTGTAAAATCAAATAGATAAAGGTGTTAAGACACTATTGTACTAAATGCCTGAACACATGAGAAAATACATGCTGGCGTCCTGCTCATTTAAGGTTAAAAAAAGAAAACAACAAAACAAAGAAGAGATCAGAGGAGACCCAGGAGGCCTGTGGCTGACGGGGGGGCCAACCCTGAACACTGATTAGTTATTGACTGCTTTCACGATTAAACCATTAGCATACAAGATCACTGTAGCCTTGACACAGTATAGGAGTGCTTTAAGACCAAAACAGCAACACTTTGTACAAAATCAACCAAGGCTGAAACATTTAATTGGATTAATCCTGATTAAATGATTATCGTAATAATCCTCAACTAATTAGGTAATGATTAATCGTTAACTTGAGAACATAGACTCTACAACATGCCTTCAGCTAAAAGAGCACCCACACAAAGAAGTTATTACATGAAAATTGTAAAAAAAAATATATTTTGCATTCAAGATGAAAAACCTTTTTTTACTCATTAACATGCTTTACCAAGTCGACATGGACGACAGTTTTAAAAATTCTGTTTAAAATCTTCTTAAAGGAACCTTCTGCCATCTGATTATCAATTAAAAGGAGAATCAACAGATTCATCAATTAACTAAATAGGCGTTAGTTGCAGCGCTAAAAGCAAATCAGTCTTTGCTTATCTTAACAAAAACACAAACCACTGCAAATATTAAAGCTCTAAATCAATGTTTAGCTTGAGTGTGTTTATCTGCAGCACGGTCAATATGATAGTGTTTTTTTAAATTAAACTTTAGTTAAACAATCATCTTTTTTCCCCTTTACAATATTATTTATATGGTCTGAGTGCAGATGCTTGTTAAGTTTTCTCTTTCACCCAAGCTGGTCCAAAGAGGGAACTAAACGATTGCTTTAGGCCTCCCTGCCAGCAGAGGGTCCAACAAATCACTTAACTCACAGACAATGTAGATCTTAAGACTTCCATAGATACGGTTGCCTAGATTAAGCTACTTTTAACTATTATTTAAAAGAATTGCATGTGGAGGAATATCTGCATGGCTAGTTAATTTTATATTCTAATAGGTTATTAGTTTAATCTATTCTGTTGTACAGACTTATATGCATGTACACTGTACATATATATAAGTCTTGAAAGAGTACTTCTCTCAAGCAACAACAAAGAACACAAAAAACATGGCTGTAGCAACACAAGACAGTTACGCAAATTAAGTTCTCTTGAACATTAACTTAATGGTTTCTTTGATATGATCTTTAAGTAAAGTTTATTCTTTAATATAGTCAATTTATCTGTCAGTTGATCTTTAAGTAAAGCATGAACACAGCAGATGGGTGGTGGTCATAACTGGAAGTTAAAGCCTCAGTTAAGGCCTTCATATATTCACAGGATGGTTCATATCTTTCCTGTCAGTCAACAAAAACCCCATGTTAGGGAGGCAGGGCTTACAACAGGCTTTTCTGGTAAAAACTGTGTAAAAAAAAAAAACAGGTAACAGCTCCAACAAGAAGAAAGGAATAAAAAAAAAAAACCCTGAGGTTAAACTTTCGTTCTCTGTCAACAAAATTTTTTAATTTGTTTGGAACTGGATGTTTGAATAACTTAAAGACTCTGGTCAGGTCAAATATATTCTCCACATTTCCTCTTCAGGGTTTCCATCGATGCTAATCGCGGCAAAATTACTGATTAAGGCTCATATCCATTTTGATGGAGAAATGTACTGTTTGGTCATTCCTGTCTGATATATATATATATATATATATATATATATATATATATATATATATATATATATATATATATATATATATATATATATATAATTATACTGCTGTATATAGAGGGATGAGATTTATATAGGTCATAACAAAATCTAAATTGTGCTTTTGAAAGCTTTCTTCAAACTGTGACTGATTTTCCACAAACTGTAGCTTTATTTACGTTAATATATACATAAATTTTAAGATATCACTACAAGAATGTGCTGATGTGCTAAGTTGGCAAACTAGATCATTTTGAAGCCCAACCATTAGCCTAAGTTAATTTCTTTAGCATTAGATACTATGCTGAAGCCAGAGAACAACCGTCAATCCCTTTTACTCGTTCTGAAAAATAAATATTATAAAAGGCTGTGTTGTACAGTTTAGACTAGAGGTACTTTAAACTTCTGACCATTCTTATTATGAACTATTGTGTATGTAAACAAATAAATGAAACTTTGAACAGAACAATAGAATGAGCTGAAACACAGGGTATTCAATTTTAACCTCACATGCTAGAAAAATAAATATTTATTAGATCTGTCCTTATTTAAATTTTTAATGTTTCATTCTTTCTGTTTTAAAATGACTTTGATTCAATCTATGCCTCAGACTGTCCAGTAATCAGTTTCAGGAGACTGTTTAAAGCTACCACCAATTAGAAAGTGTGCAAAGAAGTCATTAGTTTGCACTTTGATTCAGCCTTTGAAATGGGACCCGTTTAATGATTTTATTCTGTTTTTGTTTTTTTTATTGCTGCACCTTTATATTTAACTACCACCCAGTTTGAATATAGTAGTTGCTCATCCCAGAATAAAACAACAAATACAAATCAGGAGGCAGATGAAGCACACTTCCACATGCTTCTTGCTTATACGCACAGTCGCAAATCTGAGAAACACAGCCTGCAGGATAAGAGGACAACAACACAAACTCTCCCTCCTCCACAGATGAACCGGCAGACAGCACAGGGAAGCGAGGGATTCCACAGATATGATTTAATTAAGAGAGGAAGTCTGAAATCAGGTAAACTTTCAGTTTCCTTGCATGAATAAAAAAAGAACAAAAAAATGACTCTTCATATATTAACCTAGTGACAAAACTCAGTTATCAAACTCCAGGTTAGGTTTGCATTCAGAGGTACTTACCATGGCACATAGGGCCCCTGGTCAGGCCTGCTGTGTGTGCCCCAGCATCAACTCTCACCGTGCTTTCATAGGAATCAGCACACATGGATTTCCTTCCTATTTACACCTGACACACATGCCACAGCATGTCAGCATCTTCCCTTTAAAAGCACATATATAGTCTTACAAAGAGCGGAGGAGATTCTGCGGTCCCCACGACAATGAAAACACTGATCACAGCAGAAAAAGAACCTGGCTCTCCATGGCTGCCGCAGCACGCTTCTGTGTCGCCTGCTTTCTGCCCTCTGTCTGGTTCTCTCGCTCTCACACTCACAATCAGGTGGCGCAGTGAGCGGGCTCTTCTTGCTGCCCTCCGTCACTATGACAACTGGGTGAGACAAGAGTCTGATCGGAAAGGCAGAGCGGCTCGGAGATGCTCTTCCATTCTCGCACGCACTGCTTCTTCTGACGCCTGGTCTGCAAAAAATCTCTCTGATCCCAGTGAGTCAGTTAGCAGAACGGGAAACGTCACTCTGCTCGGCGCGCACTTCTGTTCCGACCAAATGGTGTGTCGGCATGTTGTGCACCGCATTCCCTCACTTACTAACCTGGTGTTTATGCCAGAAACTTCTTTCTGATCTTTTTATTAATATTTAAATTGGCCGTACTGACACAGGTATTCATCAACCGATAATCAAAATAAATCCACCTTGACTGATGATATATGGAAAACATATTTTTTCTTTGTAGTTATTAAAACTGGACGTAATTAGAAAATTCTCTTATGCATTGTCTTTGGTCCATTAAAAACTGTAATTCATGCCAAAAACTCTGTTTATAAATAGCCTACAATATCTCATCATTGTAATATGAAACTAGATATGCAAGCTAACTATTTATCTGCAAGTATAAATACAAATGGTGCACAGTTATTACATCATCCAAGTCGGTTTTAAGTTTTTTTGGAATCTGAGTATACTATTTTTTTGATGAGAGCACAATTTTGTTTTATTACGCTGTAGCTTTTTTTTAGTGACTCCTCCAAATTTCTGTATTCATATTTTAACCTTAACTTCTACAATCTTCAACCTGCCTGTCAGTTTTCTGGATATATTTTTTTATTTTAATACAAGACAAATAAAGATTTCTTTTAATACAGAAATGGAAAAATGTCCATGTGCTGTATATTATCCGGTTTCAATACACAGTCAGGAAATATTTGCAGGAATTACTAGAGAGATGCCGCCTGTCATCTTTGAAAATACAATAATGTCACAGTTTCAAAACCAGCTGTTGTTACCTGATGTCCTGCTGGAAAATGGAACCAGCATCTCTATGAACTTTAATGATAGATATCGTCTCAAGGGGCCTGTAATCTCTGCTATTGAACATGCATCTTTTAATACCACACTTTTTCCTTTCCACTTAACTTTCCCATCAATATGCTTACGCCACTTTCTTTGAAAGTGGACATGTTAGTTTACTAATGGAGGTGTTAATAACCATCTGCTGGAGGAACGGTGAACTTCAAATGTTTTTTAATGCATCAAATTTTTTGGTTGAAAAATCCTTTTTAAATTACCAGGGATACTCATCAAAATTACAAGTAAACGTAAAATTTTATGTATAATGAACATATTTCATATATGGGGGGAGTGATGGCCTGGTTGGTTAGAGCAGTCCACTTGTGCTCTGAAAAGGTTGCTAGTACCCGGTTTCAATCCCCACAGCCTCCACTCTGGCTCCCTAAGCAAGCCCCTTAACCCCACACTGCTCCCCGGGCGCCGCACAATGGCAGCCCACTGCTTCCCAAGGGGGATGGGTTAAATGCACAGGTACATTTCTCCAGTGTGAGATCAATAAGGTTCAATTATGAGTTTGAACTGATCTACTGAACTGAAATACAATTTTTGAACAGATTGTAATCAGTTGAGCTGTACCTAAATGCATTGGTAAATAAATTGACTGTCTTAAGATTTTGTTTTTATTTTCTGTTGAATTCAAAACCCCAACTTCTAAAAATCAACCTGCAGCAAATTTTACATTCATTCTAGATTCTAGGTCAAAATCTGGTACATTTAATCTTTAAATAAAAATTCCACTAATGAGTTGGCATGAATTACAGAACATTGAAATAAGTAGACAAACTCTGAAAGAAAAAAGGAAATCTGTATCAGCATGAAAATCCGTGCTTCTCTACCTACAACAGAACTTTTAAAGTTGAAGTTTAAATGCATTCATGCATTTTTGTGCAAAATAACCAAAACAAAGTAACCTTAACACCTCATATAAACAGTAAAAATATACAATGTAATATTTATTGTTGCCTTTATAAAAAGAATCCACAGTAGAGCTTTTCCATCATGCCTTCGGTTCTGCTTTGTTTTGCAGCTAAAAGAAACCGCGCCATTGCCCTACATTAGGCCCTCTCCCTTCGTCTGTACTCTTCCTGCGTCATCATCTGCAGCTGTATGCCAGGCAAGAGAGGACGGGGCAAAGAGAAAGATGGTAGAACACTAAGGACTGAAGCATAAGCAGGCCGAAATAATAACAGGAAAGCTAATCATAAAAGTGGGCTTTCAATAAGCAGTACAATGAGAAAACACTAATCCAATCCCACACAAGGAGGCTCAAAAAAGTCACTTTTGTTAAAACCATCAACACCTACACTTTAAACTAATTCGTGGATTTTGAGGGGTATTAAAATTAATATATTCTGCCCCTTGAATCAATTTGCAATCAACAAAAGTAATGACTAACTCATCTAAAAAGCCACAACAAACAATTCATCAACCTGAGAGCCCAACATGTACAAGAGCAAAAGCATTCCTCTCATCAAACTCCTCCGGCCACAAATACTTGAAACAAAAGTTCCTTTGAAAAAGTTCAATATTTGTTTTAATAGAGAAAACAAAACGGTACACATCCATAAGTGTTTACCTTACGTTTACCTCCTCCAGCGCCATCCACAGTTTCACTCTGCACTGCCTGGGCTGGAAGTGTGCAAGTGAACTGAAAACAAGGCAGCACTGAAGGCGCACATGCACACACACAAAAATCACACGCAGGTAATGAAGCATGCAGGAGCTGATCCACCGGCGGAGCTAACAGTCTACTCATCACCTCGTTCCACACCATTACAGCACCACAATGGGGCGGATTTTCACTGCTGCTGCGGCTCTGACTGCGCTGATGATGTTCCTTCTGTTCCCTTTTTCAGCACACATCCAAGCCTGTCTATCTGCACAATACATCCAAACTCAAAAGTTAGCTTTCAAACTATCTATTTCAGTATTTTTACTGTCAATCCTAAGTGGCAAATGAGGTAAAAATGACAAATATAACTCAAAGGAGACTGATTTTCTTTTCCCCTGAAAAGATCTACAGAACCAACTGAGAAAACAACATGGTGATTAATCCAGATTATTCTTTGACAAAACGAACAAAAAAACGATTCTGTAGAGCTTTTCTTTTGAACCTTGCTGACCTGTTTTTACTGCCATTTATTGCCATCATCCCACAATCCTTGTTTCTCAAGAACTAACAGCAGTAGGTAATGGAGAAATGAGAAAAATGAGGACCACCATGGAGGGAAAACCCAAGAGCATAATTTGCGGGACCCTCAGGTGAGTCATGGAAGAGGACGTTTGGTTTCGGGTCACTGCGTGCAACCAGGGGTAATTTGAACAACTATGCTCAAAGTGAAGCGGTGTGTTTAGGTTTTTAAGTCCTCCTGGGTGCGGCATCGCTTGTGATCTTCATCTGATCTCATAATTCTAGAGCAATGGAACAGAAAATCTGTAAATGTACTAGTACTAAAAAATGTAAATGTACTAAATGTACTACCCGTGACCCATTTTACATTTTGTCATATTATAGCCACAGGGTTCAGTTTATTCTATCGAGATTTTATGTGATTAAACAGCACCAAATTTAGTATAAACATCAAGTGGAAGGAAAATAAGTTTTTTTTTAATCTAAGATATGTGGTTTACATTTGTTTTAAACCCCTTTTTAATATAATATCACTAAATAAAATTCAGCACAACAATTCAGCTGTTCCGGTGAAGGATTCAGTTTTGGAGGAAAACAGTAGTGAACCAACAAAAGCCTTTTGTGGCGAATACCTGCACCAGATCAAACTAAAACTGAACTTCCTGCCATACAAACAAACTGCTACCTGCGATGGGAAACTAACAGTGTGCATCGCCATCCCCACTGTTAAACATGGTGGAAGCATCATTATGCCTTTCATCAGCACAAATACCAGAACTTTTTAGTTATTTGCGGTTAAAAATATATATATTTATAGTGTTTTATGTTTTGCAAATGCAGAAAAGTACAAATGCAAATTTAAAAACTAACAATATAAAAAACATTTGTTTATATACAAGGAAGACCAAAGTTACAGCTGCCTTAAAGAGACCAGATGCCTTCTTATGAAAGACGACAGAATGGCAATGATAACACAGAGCATGTTCTGGTCTCGCTGTGGAAGTGAAGACAGCAGCTGATTGTGTTACCCAACAAAGGAATCTATAAAAAACAATCTAACAAACACACAGTCTTAATGCAGCAGGACCGTCATGAGCGTGCTGCTTTCAGCCATGCATTATGCAGAGTAGCTGCAACATGTGGCTTTACCCCAAAGCTACTCTCTCTTTAGTTCACAGAGAATCGTACTTAAATATAATCATAGCTCTTCTGTTAACCGAATCTGTTTGAGCAATTTTTTTCACATCTTAAAAAACGTATAAAAAATTATAAAGTAACATTAACAAGGAAAATTTAACTTGACTGTTTTTGTTTCAATCTCTTTACATGTTTTCTCCTATTTCATGTCTTGAACTAGATGGTCTTGTGCGTTCATTAAAGAGCACAGGGTCATCATAAGCTTGTCTCATGCTTCACCCCGACACTATATATTTTAAATTTCTCAAAACATGTTCCCAATATCTCTACCTTTCTTATTTCAGCGTTTCAAGGCTTGTCTTTTCCTTTGTACTTTCCCTTTTTTAGATTTTCACACAGTTGACCTGAAATTTAGTCATACAATTTAATCATTTCAAACCAAGAAGAAAAAAAAAATGTTATTCAGTTTAATTATATTTGAAAACAACTATCACTTAATTTTCTGCAACTAATAAAAGTGTATAGAGAATGTAAATACCTTTAAATTCAATTTCTTTAGGAATGAGCATTGTTCCCCATGGTATCCTCTCTTCTTTAGCACAGTCACCAGTCTATGTCTGAGAGGGCTACGAAATTAGGTTGAACACCTGTTTTAAGGACCATTGCTGTGTTTTTTTGCCATGACCTCGACAAAATCTTTATCCATGCTGCGCATTACAGGAAGGTTTTAAGGGTATTTGCAGGAGAAACAAGCCCAAAGCATCACATATCCCTCAATGAACTTACCCTGAAACATACATAGAATA